TGGTAATGCAACAAGGCATGTGATTAGACTGGGAAATTGCTGTAGCAATACCAAGATTTACAGCATGAGTCCTACAGAAGGAGTAGACGTGGGAGACATACACAGACAGAGCTTGCAAAAGGACTGAGTGAATTGTCTGAACAAGGCCAGCACCAGCTTCCAGGGTGCTGAGGTAGCCTTGGAAGTAACTGGAGAGGTGCCCCACAGCATGCTGGTATCTGTGTGTGCTATAAAACTCATGGGTACAACTTGTCAGAGTTTTTGAGGAATATGTTATCAGCTGGTGGTCTGATTTTAGAGTATTTTTTTGGTTTGTTCCTCCTTGTTATAGGTATGGTCACATATTCTCAGCAGTGTAGCAGCTGAAAATGGGGTTCACTAATGCCTGTGCTCATGGGCTGAGCCTAACTTGCCTGGAACTCTGATCTGAGAGCTGCTTTATGTATTAGGTACCTGGTTTGGGTTTTTAAAATAAGCTCTTTTGCTCCCAGAGAAAAAAGTTTATTTGAGGCTTTACTCTGAACAATGTGTCTCCTTTCATTTGGGAGCTTAGATTGCAACATCAGGGAGAAGGCAGCGGTTATCTAGTACACAGGGTCTGGGAGGGCTGGGAATAGGAAAGGCTCTCAGCCGTGAGCTGGGAAGTCACAGAAAAGCAAAGAAATGAGCTAGAGAGGCTCTGCAGACTTGAAATTAGTGCTCCTTAACAAGGCAAGAACAACTTCAGCAGTGCCTCATGCTGCGGCTTTATCAGTGCCCACCTCCTGCTTTGGCCCATTAGATGTGTGGAGGGAGGAAGCGGCTGCGCAGCCTCTCCAGCTCTTGCCCTGTGCCCAGTACGTTAATGCTGGCAAACCCCAACTAAACCCATCGCTCAAGTGGAACAAAACTTGCTCAGTGTTTTTTGCATTAAACCCATGCCATCCTGGTCCATGAGTGTATGTGGGTTTTGGCTTTGGTGTCCAAAATAAATGCCAGAAAAGCTGTCAGGTCTCTGGTTTGACTTCTATGAAGATGTTGTCCATTCCAGTGTGTCTTGTGTGTATGGGCTGTAGGAGGGGAGCCCTGCTTTTGTCATCTTTACCAGCAAGTCAGACATCTAGTCACCCTCTGCCAAGCCTGCAAGAGCTTTGCTTGATTTTTAAAGGGAGGGTGTGGGTAAAGCTGCCTGGAAGATGTGCTGTGCTTTCTGAAAGAGAAGTAGGCATTGAAGTTCTGGTCAGAGGAAACATCGGATGGTTCTTTGGGGGAATGATTCCTGCCTTGTTTTATTGATACCTGCTACTGCTGCTCTTTCATGGTCATGGTTGCTCCTTGGCAGGTTGAGGGATGCATGTACTTGGAGTACTATGTCCTGAAAAGGTGAGTTTGTCTAAAGAGCACGTCTGCAAGAATTCCTTGGATGAGGCCTTGTTTGCCTTGGCTAGTGTAAGATCCTGAAGCCAGATAGGCTACTAGACAGAGGTTGTGCAGAGACCTTCAATATCCTAGTGCAGCAAGCAGTAATCTGGTTTGGGGAGGCCATCTTTTAAAATTGTGTTTAGAGTTTCATACCATGGACAAGTGCGTCCCTCAGACTACATATACTGGAGAATTCCCTCATTTCTTTAAACTTACTTTATTAAAGAGGTGGTTGCTAGAATGTGTCCTACCTCTGCTCTTCCCTGTTAGTTTAGAGACAAGTTTAACAATTATCGTTTGAAAAAGACCAAAGGAAAGAACTCGAGATACTCTTCTCCATCTGGTGTTACAAAGAGACTTTAAGACCTCATCTTGGGGGTCTACCAATTGGGTGGGTACCAGTCTTTTGTGACAGTTATCAAGCAAATAGACTAGGTGCTTTCTAGTGCTCAGGTACACACATGATGTTCTGAGATGGAGCACATGAAAGGAACCTGAGGAGAGACTCAGGATCCCCAGAGACGTGAGTGGGAGAAGCAGGTTGCTGTGGCCCGCACAGTTCTACCTAGTGCTGGTGAGGAAGAGTTAACTCGCTTCTGTCTGAGCTGAGCCTGGAAGCAGAGGTTGGTTGGTTGGCTGAACATTGGAAATCCTCTCTTCATGCCAGGTGTAACAAGGATCATCTGGTAAAAATGTGTGTCTGCCTGAGACACAGATCTGCCTTAGACATGTATTGAGCACGAATGGAGTTTGCTGTCTGCTGGAGGAGCCAGGTCCCCAGTTGAGCAAAGCCTAACGGAAATTGGATCCAGTCCAGAATGTCTGGATGGCATATGATATTTACTGAAATATGGCATTGCTTGTGTAAGCAACACACCCTTCTCCCTCACTCTGGAAACCATCTGGGTTTCATGTGCAAGCGGTTAAAAAGCGGAGCAGGAGAGCATCTGATGCTGTATGGCTCTTGTGATGTATTTTCCACTCTGACCCCCCTCCATGGGTGTCCCTGCATTTGCAGGCATGGAAGTCTCAGCCATGCCCTGATGTCTTCTTAAAAACCCACTGAGGGTTTTCTTCCTTTTTTCTGCAGTGGTTGTAAACAGATTAGGGTTGTATGAGGAGTTTGCGTAGGGCTTTACTGACAGGGTAAGAGGCAATGTCCCTCGCCTGGGCCAGGGTACAATCATGCTGGCCAAACCTTCCTCCGTTTCTAGCTGGATCCACAGCCAGTGGCTTTATTGACTCTGCTGATTTTTATACCAGCTGGAGTCAAAGCTTCTGGGAATGAGGAAGGGATATTTGGCATGTCAGTGCACTTGCATAGTAAGTGTTTTTTCCAAAAGGAGCTGCGCACCCTTAGGAGAGGCTTGGGACTGTGCAGAGCTCCCTGTCCTTCACATAGCCAGGCTGAGAAAGGATTTGGCCAATTGCTATGTTGTAAGGACAGGAGAGGCAAGGGGAGTACACAAAATTGGCCCCTGCCTGCCTAAAATAATGCAAGTTTGGCTGTGCTTTTCATTAGCTTCTGGGATGGGGTTTAGTTCAAGGTAGCACCTCTGGGGTGGGGTTACGGTTTTCTCTGCTGTTTTCAAGGCTTTCCTTGTAGCTTCCTCTCTGTCTGTGTGTGCACACTCTGTGGGTTTTGTTTCTTAAAGGGAGCGTCATATGACAGCCCCGGCATCTCTGATCTTTCTGGCAGACTGATCCTTCTTCCTTCCGGAGCGTGATAAACAGTCCAAGAAACTGCGCCTGTGTGTGAGTGCATGTACACCTTTCAGAGACCCACAGCTTGCTTCTCTAGTTCTTGGTGTGGTTTTTCTATCCTTCTGTCATAGTTTCTGGTGCTGCTATGCTTCACCTTCCCATCTCCTCTCCTGCTGCGGTTTACTTGCTGCTGCCTGATGTGAAGATGTAGGTGATACAGAACAAGCCATTTCTGAGAACCTTGACCTGTGCTCTCTGGCCTTGCACCCTAATGGCACAGGATTTCTGAGGTGGTTAGTGTTTCAGGCACCCCTGAAAAGATGTTGCAGTGATTTTTGAAATCAGCCTGTTCTTTGAGCAGTGGCAGTTTCTTTCTGCAGCATGGATGCTGTGGCTTGCAGGTTACCCAGATGCCCAGCACAGGCAGATGCTGGTAGGAAAGGAAAGCTGCCTTGGTGTGTCCGTGCAAAGCACTGTAGCACAGCAGAGCTCCAGTTCAGAGCAGCAGGACTCTAACATGGTGGCAGCAGTCTTTGAGACCTGCCTTTGGCCTAAGGTGGCTAAAATACAGAGAGGCACTAAACCAGCTTCTATTGCTTCCAACCCCAGAAGCTTGTGCTTTTGTGGCCAAAGGATCTGGCTCCAGCTCTGTTACTGCTGTTGGAAAGTGGAAACACCCTGTGTGGAGACACCCATCAAGGCCTCAGGGGGTCTGAAGGCTTGATCTTTGCACCTCTGCTCTGAGAGGGTCTTGTGGGCTGGGACTTCCCAAAGCCCCTTGAAGCTGTGTAATCTCTGAGGCCAACGGATGCCTTTTCCTCAGCGCCTGGAATAACGAACTCGTTTGAGTCTCATTCTCCTCTCTAGTTCATGCCAGATCTGAGTTCCCAGAGTCAGGCTGGACTAGCCCTGTACTGTGCCTTCAGCTCTCCCAGCTGAGTCTGCCCCTTTCCTCGAGCACAGCTGAGGCTTGAGAAGTGACGTGTGTTTGTTCCCATCCTCCAGAGTGGGAGGAAGGTTCCCACTTCTGTGTTCTCTTCCTCTGTCTCTGGAGCTTTCGAGAGATCCAGCAGCTTGGCATTCAGCAGCAGCATTTAAACAGGTCACTTAAGTACAGGTACCTTTTCCCCCCACCCTCCTTCCTTTTTGCTACTTTGGCAGATTGCCTTGCCTGATTGACTGCATTTCGATTCATCTCTGATATTTAATCTCCTCCCTGGAGAAAGATGGGCAGGAGAGATGCTGTTGCTGCCCTGGGGTAGAAATCAAGAACTGTAGAGTGTTATTTCATTCAGTCCGAAAAAACCCTCTAATAACACAGAGGACGTGTTGTGCTGTAGTGAAAGGCGGCTTTGAGAGATCATGTAATCTGCCCTCGCCTGGCCTTGTGCTGTCTCTTGCTGTAGGACTGGAATCAAAATACCATCTCAGACACTGCAGCCCAATTGATTGGAGTGGCTTCAACCAGTTCCATCTCTGTGCTCTGGAGGAAGACCTTTTCCTCCTCCTTCCCTGTCCTGGTCAGATAACATCCAGGAAACTTGGTGTCCAGATGAGAATTTCTTTCTTTTGCAGGGAGGTGGCCCTGTGAAGGAAGCAGTCAGCTTTATAGCAAGTGAGAGTGGGTGGACTGAGGATGCTGGAACAGGAGAGTGATGGGAGGGAGCAGATGAAATGATGGGCCCCATCTCTCAGCCAGAAGGGTTGTCAGGGTCAAAGGGTTGGAATATGGATGAGCAGCTGTGAGGCAGAGGCTGGAAAGAGCTTTTCTTGTTTGTGCTGAATAACACTTGGTCCATTGGCTGCCTGTGTCTAGCTGTATGCTGTCCTACAGGGTTGAGAGCTGTGCCCTGTTGTCCTTCCTCTTCCTCTATCCCTGGGACTTTCTACTGGCCGTATGCTCTTGTCTGGAGAGTGGAGCAGAATCAGGCCCATTTGCTCACTGCAGTTCCTGCTGCATAAGGCGGTGGGAATGATATGATGCTCTTCCCCAGGAATTAACATTGGATGAGGCATGTGTTTAACCGCGGTAGGTCGGGCTCTCCAAGTGTTTTTAGAGTAAGACCCCCTCTTCTTTCCAGATGGTGAAATGTCTCTGAAGAGTTCTCACTCTGGATAGACTTTTTTATTTAACTGCTTGGCCTCTGCCCAAGGGAGTCTGTGTGGCTTTATGGGAAAGGATTTTTAGTTGTGCAGAAATGGTGGTGTGCACATTTGAATGTGTGTACCCAGTGGATCATTCAGCTATGGATGAAATTGTACTGTTACAATGTTTGTGCGTATGCATTGATTGCACTTATCTGAAAAGTTATAATCCTTACTCAGTCAAAGCTTCTGGTATTATACGTCTGCTTGATATGCTCTGTCTGTGCTCTGCAAGGCTCTGTTAAGCCCATTACCACCTCCTTCCCTGCTGCATACTTGTCTTTATCATCTTGTGCCTTGCACCCAGTTAGAAAGTAGCTGCGTAGCTGGGTCTGCTGCCCAGTTGTGCTTGTGGGAAATAAATGATTTCCTCAGGGTCTGGTGGCTGAGGGTGGTGGAACAGCAGGGTTAGGGAACCCAGACCCTCCCCTTGGTGTCCAGAAACGATCACGATATTTCTGTTGCTCCCTGAAAGGATGTATATACTCTGTATCTGCAGGGAGACAGATTAGATCTGACTTCTAGGAGAACACCATTTTAATTCTCTTTTCTTCTAAATGGATGGGAGGAAGGTCAGATGAGGAGAGAGGAAGAGCTCTGAGAATTAAAAGGTGAGGGTGGTATAAGACTGGTGAGGACTTGATATTAATCTAGGTTTGAAATTAAAGGTGTTTCCCATTTACTGTGGTGCTAAGATATGGAACATCTTCCTGTAGGGGCAGAATGAGATCAGGTTGCTTGGTGGAGAGAGTTTTACCGGGTTTTGAAGAGGGTTGGTTATGAAACAATGCTGCATGTGCTCACAGGGCTTTTGCCTGGTGTTCTGGGAAGTCCTCCCTGGTGTGTGGGTGTGTGTCTGTCTGCCTGTGATTCTCAAGGTCTGTTTGGTGTCTTGAAGGCCTTTTGGCTTTCCAGGTAGAGGAAATGCTGTGTTGATACAAAAGTATTGTCTCACATGCCATGGGACTGATGGGTGGAAAGGTGTTGTCTTATCTGGGGAACAACATTTTGGGGATGTCTGTGTCTTTTAAAAGGATGCGTTGCAGGTAGCTGACATGACCATTTGTTAATCAGCTGCAGAGTAACGATGTTGGGGGATAGCATTAGAATTAGTGTTAGTGCTTGTGTCCTGCAGATGAATTTGGCTAATGCTGAAGCATGACCTACCAAAAGTTAGTATCTCTGACAGCTGCATCCCTAACTAGCTGAAAGAAGACAGGAGCACAGGGTTTACATCCTTCAGGGGTGAAGAGGGGAAGGGAGAACAGCAGGCTTGGCAATGCCAGTGGGGGACAAGCTTTCCTTTCTTTTGGTGAGGACAGAGGAAATCAGACCTTTTGGGACATATACAAGGGGTGATGAGACCACTGGTGCATTTTTCTCACTCTCTGTTCCTTACTGGGATGGCTTCAGCTGCAACTGAACATAATACCTAGAGTCATGAAGCCTGCTTCTGTCTGGAGACAGTTTGAGGAGAGACATTGTGTCTGCCTTTTTCTTGCATAGCCTAGGCTTAGAAACACTTCCTAAAGCACACAGTGGGTTTTTTCCTAAGTGCCTGTGGGTATTGAGGTTGGCAAGTCAAAAGTAAGGTTATCTGAGGACCCCATGCATTCACCAGGGTTACTATAGTTGCTGCTTCTGCTCTAGCTGTAACAAATTCACATGCTCACATGAGGACCAAGAGGGTAATCGTGAGATACGTCAGGGCTGTTTGCCCCAGAGCTCTGTCATCACAAGATGGGAAACAATTCCTCAGTAACACTGCATGATGCAGTGTTACCTGTCATGTGGTGAGTACCCATCACCTCATGGAAGGGGCTGTGCAAAATAGGCCTTCAGAGCTCCGCTGTGCAAGTATCCTCCTCTCCCAGGCATCTGTTATGAAAGCCTATGCTTTGACACCATGGTAGGGGTGTTTCATACCCACAGGGGAGGAGGCATGCAGGAATAGTCTGGATCCAGGTGGTGGGTTGTGCATGACCCCTGCTCTGAGAAAGGTGGCGTAGGTTGGATGTTTGATATTCTGGAAAAGCATCCTTGTGGTGTAGAGTTTTCAGGGCTTCCAGTCCAGGTAGTTTTACACTCCTACCCTAAAACCTGCTGTGTGACCTTTGGGAAACTCACTGGTACCTGTGTGTGCCTCAGGTCTTCCCCCTTCTCTCGTTGGCTAGATCAGTTATCTCCATGGCGGCATCTTCTCTTGCTCCACATCAGTGCTGTGGCCCTCAGCCTGAGCACAGCCCTGGTTTTGAGGTGGTAATAACTCAAAGCCTTTGTGGAAGCTTAATCTTCTAAAGGGTCTGAGCTTCATCTCATCTGCTCCAGGGAGGCACGTCTGGGAGGGAAAGGGAAGATGTAAGGGAAAGTTTTGGCTGCAAGATGGAGCAGCATGATGTTTTTTATTCAGTGCTTTGCTGGCCAAGCAGGGCTCTGAGTGCTGCTATTGCTTCTCTGTCAGCTTCTTCCACTGGAAACTCCAGGCCCCTTCTCTCCTCTACCTTGGATAAATAACCGCTGTCTCAAGACCTGCAGGAGTGCCAGATGGAAAGCATTCCCTTCCTTTCAGACTTGCTGGGCACACAGGACTCGTTTACAGCTTGCTGGCATGTGCTCGTCATTCAGAGAGCTGACCAGGCACTGCCTCTTTGGCATGAGCAGAGGGAAGCCAGGCTCCAGGACACAAAAGAAGTAAAGGAGAAGGGATTTGTAGAGCAGCTGAATGCAGCCGTCATGCCTGTGCTGGCAGCGCAAAGGTGTTCAGTCAACACAACAGGAGCAGGGCTGATCCCAAGCTGCAGGAAGACAATCTGCTCAGCCTTGTAACTGTGTTGCTTTTGGCCAGGCCTCTCCAAACACCCATCAGACACCCCTACCTCAGAGCAGCCCTCAGAAGCAAATACCTCTGGGAGGAAAATTTAACCTGCAACAAGTTTGAGACCACGAAGCAAATTAGTGGCATGGTTTGTGATACCACCAGAAGGTGTAATTTCTCCACCCGTGCTTGGGCACTGCTAGGTACCACTAATGTTTTGGGAACAGACACACTTTAAAGGGATGAAAAAATATTCTTACATCCCATCCAGCATTGGCCTTTTCTCCTTGATAGAATCACTTACAGTGGGAGGGCTTTGGGAAGGAATGGGGAGCTGGCAGTGGTGGGAATGCCTACAGGAGTAAAAGCAGGCTGTGGAAACATGTTGGTACACAGAGGGAGTAATATGGATGGCAGCAAGATGCCCAGGAGGGGTTCTGTGTGCTCAAGCCTCTCACTGGGACTCCAGCAGCCTTTGGTAGAACTGGAGAGGTGAAGTGCAGAGTGGTTCTAATATCCAACCCTTGTGGAAGCAGCAGAAAGAGGACTTGTCCATCACTGAACTCTTTTCAAGTGGCACAAGCTCTTAGGTAAGTGTTTCTGGAAACATAATGGGTTTTCTTCTTGCTTTGCAGGATTCCCTTGCCTTGATGACGTAAATGAGTTAAGTGCTAAATGGCACTGCGGTCACTGCCACAGTCAGCTTGTCTTTCTGCAGGGGTAAGAGCCCTCTCAGCCTTCAGAGTGGTAGAGAGGTGCCTTGGGACATGGTGGGGAGGGCTTTGCAATAGGACCTGAGCTTTTGCTCAGCAGTCCCCTACCCACTGCATGAGAGGCATATGCATGTGCTATGGTGGTGATCGAGGCCAGATGGCTGCTCAGACCTGGTTCTCCTTCACCTGCCCTGCCCTCAGGCGTTGGGGTGTGGGCTTGGGGCAAGTCTCTGTGGGTTGGTGAGTTTAGCTCAGGTTCAAACATGGGGGGAAATGAGCTCACCCATTTCTGCCTCTTTGCAGGGCCCTGCTCTGACAGGCAGTGCTGCGCTGTCCAAGCTCTGGAGCCCTGGTGCTGCTCCAAGGCTGCCCGCCTTGCAGAGGAGAAGATGGTTTTGTTTAGTTTGCTTATGTGAAGAAAAAAGTCTGTCAAAATAGGGATTTGGAAAGAGGAAGGGTGAGCAGGAAGTCTTCCTGTTGGCATTTATTAGAAGGGAAATTAATGTTTTATGTTCAGGGGCCCTGCTGGATGTGCAGTGCTTGGGGATAGTGGTGTAGTGAAAGCCTCCTGACTTCTTGAGTGCAGGGTGCGAATGTGATCTGGAATAAGCAAGAAAGGGCTAAATATAGAAGCCACTGGCTCCCATCCTGCAATGGCGGCTCTGCCCTCGCTGCGGTCCTGGAGGCAGCAAGTTCTGCCTATTGTTCCGGTCACATTCTTGTGTCCCACGATGGGGCCTCTGTGATGGAATAAAATGAAGAGAAACAGATGGGAAAACAATAACCCAAGGAACAGGCCCTGTGCTTTGCTGAAAGCTTCCAAAAACCCATAAATCCCCAAATGCATTTGTGCTGCATTAGGGAACTGAAGCAAAGCAAGGGCCAAGTACTTGCCTTCCCCAGATCCCATGTGCTCTTCTTGCACAGAGACAGCTCTCTATGGGGGCTCTACCTTGCAACAAATGATTGTAGTGGCAATTCTGTTTCCTTAATCTTTTAATTCTGGCAACTTCCCCAGCTGTCCTTTTTCTGCGCTCCCTGACCCTTTTGTCTTGCAGGCCCCTGGATAAAGTGACTGCACAACAAACTGCCCCACCTTTCCATCCTTCTCATGTACAACTGAGCTGGCTGCATGCAAAACATGGTGGGACCCTCGCAAGGCAATGGTGCGGCGTCTCAGTCTCAACCAGAGTTGCTGGTAAGTGCTTTATAGAAAAGAATAACCATTAGTGACTGTGAGCCTCTTGGAAGGAGAGGGACTGACTTGAGCACTGAGCGGGGAACATGACCTGCCTGAAATACTGTGTTTGACCACGAAATTGTTGAAGTAATTGGACGTCCTGACGCAGTCACAATTCACTTCTTGTTCGTGTTTGAAGTCAGTGCATGATGTTTTCCTCAGCAGATTGTTATCTATAGTATCCCTTCCTTGAGTGTGTGTGTGCAAAACCCCTGGCGAGCAGCAGGGAGGATGGAGGTCAGTGGATGAAGTTTGGTGCTTTATGCAGAACTCTGCTTTACCTTGCAAAAAGCAAGCAACTTGTTTACTCACAGACAGGTAGGTGAGTTGGCTTTGCTCACGCTCAGCCAAAAACTACAACTCTTTCTTTCCCCAGTAGCTTATTTGCTGCTGTCTTTTTGAGGTGAAGCAGTTCCCCAGGGGATCAGACCAATGTTGTAGCTGGCCCAGGGCACGAGTGAGGCAATGCTGTGGGGAGCAGGGGACAGGATGGGGGGTGAAACGAAATGAGGTCTTTCTTTGAACCAAGCATCTTGTGAAACCTCATCTTTAGGATCTGAGGCAGGAAGAACTGCACACACTGAAGGTGTGCTGCTGCAGCTGTGCTGCTACAGCATGGGAGCTAAGTCATTTAAAGGCAGATAGGGATCTATATGCCAGCGATCTTCATCCTTGTTAAAATTCCCCTTTTCTCCCCCTGTTCCTTTCCCTAAGCATATATTCTTTCACTCATCCTCCTCCCTGATACATTTGCTCTTTCCAACCACTGCTCCATGTCAAACAGCTGTCGCTGCTCTGAGTGGACAGATAGATCCCTATGCAAGCAAAGAAATGGTGAAACTATTCATGTGCTGAAGTGGCTTGGTCCAAAGCTACTGAAACCAACAGCCAGGCTCACATTCTGTTTAATGGTCTTTGAATGAGGCTTGATGTAATTCAGGCAGTTGCATTTGCAGGATACAGGTTTTCTGTGTGGCTGGTCACTGTACTAGGGGGTATTTTGTACAGACAGATGTGTTCTCTGAGATTACAATTACATAGTTTATTAACTTTATTGTTCCTTGCATTTGAGTGGGAGATTTTTTTTTTCATTGAAATTATAGAGTGTTTATGCCCTTTTGTTCTTTGTGTACATGAAACCGCATAGGAACCACCAAGTTACTGGTAAAAAGCGAACTTGAAATTGACACAAAACACTGTGGTGTGCACAGGGGTGTGCATTGCTTCCTTTGACCGAGTGTTATGCTGCCAAACTAGTTTCATATCCTGCATCCCCTGCTGTGCTATAGCACTGCGATGCAGCTGATGTGCTCTTGTGTCACCGCTCCTACTGCTGGGTATAAGGAGTGCACCTAACAAAGCGTATTTCAAAGGTGAGGCCAGTCAAATGTAACTGGCCCTGGCTCCAGTTCGTGTGTTTGCTTGTGCCACCTTGGAGAACTGTCCTCGGAAAGCACGCCAAGGACAGGGAACTGCTCCTGCCAGCCCCGTGGTGCTACAGGAAATGAATCTTCCTGTTTTGTTACCCACCTCGGTTCTATTTAGG